CCTCTCACAGACTATTTTGATGGCTACATTTATTCAGTGAGAATTTTGACTTGAACAAGTTCTCTGTGAACGTTCTGCTTGCCCACATTGGCCATGTGCTTACACAGCCTGTCAAACCCTGCTCTGCCCCACAACCACCCATGGCTCTTCCCACCCGTGCAGCCATGAGCCCACAGGGCCTGGCATACCAGTGCTCCCAGTGACAGCCCAGTGAGCAGCTACCTCTCGTGCACACCTCAGTGGGGATGGCTGAGCTGCGACACCTTCTCCAGCTGGCCAAGAGATGCTGCTCCCAGAACCTGCTATCATGCCATTCAATTCAGCGAGAGTAGGAGCAGCCCAACGTCTAGTCATAGTACAAGATTTTATTGCTGTCATAATAATTAATGACTACTTACACTGAGCTTTTAATGAGTACCTGCGCTTTTTTTTGTTGTTTGTTTGTTAACTGGGTCGTAAAGGAGGAGTTCCACGCGGTTTCCTGGATTTGCAGTACAATAGGGACCTCTACAGGCGTTCCCCGGTTCGGAGCAAGGCTCGGGCCAGGGATGAGCCACTGCGGATGCCATCAGAGCTCTGCGGCACAGTCACCTCTGAGTGCTGTGGATCCCCTGCCCATGACAGGCTGGCCCCGCAGGAATACAGCCTTCGGATTACTGACCTGCGGTATGCAAATTGCCTGATTCCAAACACATTTTGCCACGATACTTCTCTGAATACCTCTGAAAGTTAAAACACAGATGGGCAACTTGCACTGTCACACAAGATGTAGAGCTGAAATGACTATTACAAAAGCAGCTCTTGCTGTGTGCCATCAAACTTCCACATTACCAAGTCTGACCCTTCTTTCCCCTCCCTCAGCACCATTTCTTAGAGGAACTCGTGAGAGCAGAGTTTGAAAAGTTTGAAGCCTCTCCTTCCTGTGACATTCATCCCTCCCTGTCTTAGTTCTCCACAGTGCATCATTCCCACAGCACTGTCCTGATTCCGAGGGATGTTCTAAAGCAAATCCATTAAGGACTCTGAGTTTCAGGGGTCATGGGAGCTATTCTGAACTCAACTATTAAATCGACTCTTTTGCCAAATTAGCCTTCTCCTTGTGGGATGTTCTACTAGCTACAGTGTATTTCATGGGAAAAAAATTAAACAAAGCTTATAATGTGTATGAAGAATTACAAAGCTATAGAATTTTGCTGAGAGCCATGTGATTTTTTTGGAGTTTGATTTTGTTTGGTTTGATTTTTAGGAGGGTTTATTTTGAAAGTCAGTAGCAAGTAACCACTTTCACAGGGAAAACTGTCTCCTACCTGCCTGTCTGCCACCAGATGTCTGAGACCTCCAGGCCTGGCTGCTCCTGTGCCCACGAACCTCCAAGTATGACCACAGTACCACTGTTCACCAGCAGTGTGTCCCATCAGGCAGGCAGGACAGGGGCACTGCATACTCCAAACAGGAGCCATACCTCCTTACATTTCCCTCCAAGATTAAAAGCAGTGTTTTGAAAGCACAGCCATCTTTTCCACAGGCTTGCAGCTTGCTATTTCAGATAGGCCTCGTTGGATCAGGTAAACTGCAGACCACCCACACACCTGAGCAGAACATGGGTGTTCAGGTCATAGCCAAGCACACCCGCATGGTGGCTGCAGATGCCAGTGAGGCAGGTAGAGGCCTGGGTGGTTTCAGGTCAACTAGGCTAGAGAGATGTGCTGCAGGAAAAGCCAGTGTGCTTCCACCAGCCAGGATCATGCACAGGGCAAGGGCTCTGTCCTTTGGAAAGGCAGATCCTGGTCTTCAGTGTCTCTGGCTTAGCCCTGCTGAGCTGCTGCCCCAGCAGAGCTGAGGCAGGCCTGCCTACAAGCCATACACACGGGTTTCTCTTGAAAGGACAGTTTTTGGCACATGCAGCTAGAATAGGAAGCAGGAGCTTACGACTCTGTCGATTATGCCATTACAGAAGGAGTCTGAGCCTGATAAATGAGCCAGGAAAGATGATCTTGATCCTCTGACAGGCCAGTTCTGCAGGAAATTCAGCACCGTAAGCAGCAACACACCATACCAGGCTGGCAGCATCTGTCACTTATCAAGGCAGGGCCCTGCATAGCTGACTCCTGAGAGATCTGAGGCAACGCAGAGTTTCTCGGCCGGGACAGTGCATCAAACAGCACAGTGATTCAGCCATACAGAGGTGCCTCAGACACAGCTTGGGCCTGCTCTGAGACTGTGCTTCACACCAAGGGCACAGAGCACCCAGCTCGTGAGGAACCCTTTTTGGGCAGCTTCCACACCACTGGGAAGAAAGAAACTAAAACAAGGCAAAGACCTCCTTTTCCTTCCTTCCTTCTTCCCCATCTTGGTCTTTCCATTTTATTCTCATTCTGCCCTGACACAAAGTCACATTTTGCATGGCACAGACTCATCTGGTGTTTCACTCTCTAGCTTTTCTTCCACTGATAGGAAAATCTGAACAAACTTGCACTGGCAGCCCTTCCAAAGCTGCCTTGGGCTGCAGGGCAAACTAGAAGAACATATTTTACTCTATAGTCTCCTGCTAAATTGTGGCCTTAAAATAAACCTTCCTTTTTGGTTGTGTTTAACCAAACATGAAAAAAAAGCCAAATCAGTGTGTGTTTCTGTAGGTACAGAGTGTCTCACTGCAATGAGTAAATACTTCTGAAGAAGCACTTGCATATCCTGCAAGGCACCTGCTTGGGCACTGGTACATAAAGGGTGTAAAGACCATCAGTAATAGGACATGCAAAGCCTAAACCAAACCAAATACATCTCTCAGGCAACTTTCTGGGCAAGTGGAAGTCCAGGTGTTAGAACACCTGCCCTTAGAACTCCTTAAACAACTGCACATATCCCCTGAGCAAGTTGTGCAGGGTATGTGTCTGCTCTAAGACACAGGCTCTGTGACAGAGAAAGACTGGTTCTTGGAAAGTGAATCCAATACTGGCAATCTGCACACAAGAAGAGACAACCCACTGCCAAGAGGGAGATTCACCCACATGGGGCTTTTCATCCTTTGGATATTTGGCTCTAAAATTTTCTCTGAGATCCATGCGAATGTTCTCTCATCTGTTTTCCTGCTAACACATGTTTTCAGTGGTATTTCTGTGTGAGAGGGGTGCAGGGTGCTTTTTATGTGCCTGTGTGAGCATGTGCAGACTGTAATGCACATCTCATTGCCCTCTCACTACATAGGGGTGACACAGAAAACCTTAGGGCCAGTACTGAAAGCTGACTTGAAAATTGAGAAAAGCACAAGTTGTCTGGCTGTGAACATTAAGAAAAGGTCAGAAGAATGGAAAGGATTGCAGAGATTTGAAGATTTAACTTGAGACCAAGAAGACAAAAGGCTGAGAGTTGGAAAAAGCTGATATCAATGTGCAGAGGGAAGGACTGGTCTGCATCCAGCTCCACATCAACAGTCCTTTTTGTGTATGAATGTGCCACCTGCTCCCTGTGTTACACTCGATTCCAAACAGTGTGTGATGTGCAGTTTTATTTATTGGTACAAACGGAGAGCCAGGATGGCTCAGCTACTGACCAGGATTCCCATGTGAGAAGCCCCTGAACTTCAGGCCACTTGAGCACCACACGTACGTTTCCCCTTTCAAACCCACCTATCATCCCCATCTGTGCACTGCCATCACAGGCTCACAAATACACAGAGCTTGACCAACAAGCAACACGCATCCCCTTGTGAAAATTAACTCACAAAGAAACCAAGCTCTCAGAAGGGCACCTAAATTTAGGAGCCTGTATTATCTCACAGTCTCAAAGCACCAACTGCCTCTCTCTGGTAGGTGACTTGAGCATAGCAGATGAATCTACAACGTTCAACAGCTGAAATGGAAACCTCTGAGGGCCATGTCCAGTCTCACCAGCACTGGCAAACACTCCAGCTGTTATAGTGAGAAGTCCCAGTTCACGTCACAGTCTTCAGAATGAATTTTCTTCCCTTTTCCTTGAACAAAATGTTTGCAGCTTTGCAATTCCTTGTAGACAAGAGAACCAAAGCATCTGACACAATCTGTTTGTCCAGGGTGAAACCAAATCCCTAAGAGAATTTCTTTCTTATTGGAGTAGTCACATTGTGCCCATGTAAGAATGGAATGGAGTTTCCTGGGAAAAGCTGAAGTTTCATCCCAAAATTCCAGCTTCTCCAGCAATTCAAGCCCTGTGCTGCAATCAGGGTGCAGCAAGGCAGTGTTCTGCCTGAAGTTTCGTGGATCTGAGGAGCTGCTGCATGATGCTAGGGAAGAGGAGAGTTCTTTGTCCTGAGCACCTTCTGTAATCCATTTGGAGAAAGATGTCCAGTTCCTTTGTTTCTGAGAATAGGAACATGCCACGCCCAGAGTACCATGATCTAATTTCCTGGGAATTGCTTACTCTCGATTGCTAAGTTTAAGGAAGCTTTTGAGAACCAGCCATTGCCCTCAGTCCAAAGCATTTTGATTTTGTCCTTTGTGGCACCAGAAGCCCACGCTCAGCCCAGTACACTGAAGGTTAAGTGCTGGGTTGGAAGAGAGATGTTTGACCACACACACGGCCAGCAGGCACCAAGATCAGAACCCAAACGGTTTCTTGTCAGTGCACAATGTCCAGAACGCAACTCCACCAGGAGAGAGGTGGTGCTTTTCCTCCTCAGGAGGAGAAAAAAGAACAAAAACCAACCAAAACACACAAAAGACCATTGAAATGACTGAAAAAAGCTAAAACCAACCAGTCCTGCCCTTGGCAAACAGTGACCACCAGAGAGCATCAAGGGGCTGTCAGCATCCTCAGCTGTCTGGACTTGAGCATCAGCCACCTTCACCCGGGAGAGGAAGTCTTGCCCAAAAGCAAACGGAGCCTGTCAGCTCAGCAGGAGTTCATTCATTCCACACACTCCCCTCGGCAAGGCTGGGATCCCTGTTGGATGGCGCAGGGAGGCCTTCCCAGCAGAGCTTCCCCTCCTCTGCAGGCAAACTGCTAAGAGTCCCAGTGCTGGCTCCTCACAGCGCCGTCTCACCCACGCAGACTTTGTAGGGGGATTTCAGTTTCCTGCATCTAGAACGGATACCAGTGTGTGATTTCAGTCAGACAAACCCCAGAGCACAGCAGTCTGCACAGAAGCCAAACGTAGCCTAACTCACTTAGGCAGCCCAAGGGAGCCCCATGTTTCAGGCAATCATGCTGCTAACCCCACTGGCAGGGCAGAAAGCACAGGTATAGAGTGTCAGCTCCTTTAAGGTCACACCACAGATGAGTAACAGGCAAGAACACACTCCCAGAGCCCTCAAAACTCTGCCCACTGTTAGTGAGATCAGTGCAGTCAGAAGGCTGCAGATTTCCCATACCTCTTCCTTACGTAGCAGTAGATGATGGCGAGTATCCCACTGGTCAGTATTCCCACACCAATTCCCACAGCGATGTAGCGCTCGTAAGAATTGTGTGCATAGGAGTTCAGTGTTAAGTGTTCACACCTCTCTCCATTATAGCCTGCAAGGCACCTACAAAATAAATTTATATCACAGATACATAATAAATATGTCATAGTAGATATAAAATAAATACACATCATGCAAAAGTTGTTCAGAACTTGTTCTGCTTTCTGTGTTAGACACATGTCAGTTTTCATCAATCCAGAAGAAGTCTAATTGAGGGCTGAACCTGGTGCTCACTCAGAACCTCTTCCCTCCACCAAGACTACCAGCTGCCCCAGTCTATTGAGTTCAAGGCTAGCTCAGGTGCTGCAGTCACAGCAGCAATGCAGTTGAAACATCCCCTCATCGTGGAGGGCGTCAACCAAGAGCACAGGGCTCTGCTGATCCTCAGCTGCTGCGAAGTCTCCAAAGGCCAAAGCTGCCCACAAGGGATCCCAGAGAATTTTAAGGACACAATGGTCCTGACTGGTGTGTGAGCACTTGCAAAATATAAGGGATTTGCAGCTGACATGTTGGAAGATCCTGTCCCCTTCATCATGCCCACTGTGAAAATCCCCTTATTCCTCTCCTGCCAGCTGTGATTCGAGATGCCACCGTGGCAGTGGCTTGCCAAGCTGTGAATTCCCCCTCTCCCTCAGTTTTACACTAGCACAGCACTACTGCCTCATTAGCAGTCCCATGTCACCACACCACCCAGGCCTAGGCCACATTTTAAGCCTGCAAACACTTGAGTGGCACTGGAAAGCTGCATTAATGACATGCAGCAATGCCACTGCTGGTTTTGAGGAAGGATACAAAAAAGCAGTATTCTTTACTTGCATATGGGTTTCCTCAGCTCGCTGTGGAAGGCGCAGAGCCCGTTGATGCAATAGCTGTGGTGTTCCTCAAGACAGGTCTGCATGAGCTTCAAGAGCTTTGGCTGCTCTGTGTAGTCTACTGCGAAAGGGAATAAAGTCATATCATACTTAGGACAAAAAAATCATTTTAATATATTTTCACAACTGAAGCAGAACAGACATTGCCTGCAGAAGACACTCCATCAATTTACTGTGCTAGGTCTGTGCTATGACTCAATCAGCACTAAACACAAAAAGCTTCTGAGACATCCCAGCACAGCTTGGAGAAAGAAAAAACTGCAAATAAATTACTTGCTCTTGAGAAATACATAAAAAATGAATATGGGAGATTCATCCAGGGTAACACCAGCTCTACCCAACCTGAAATCCTATCTGAGAGACCATCCCAGGAATAGCAGGGGTTTAGGGCACAATGAGAGCATTGCATTACTCTCACTATCCTTCCCAGCCTGAATTCAAATCCATAGCTAATTCATTTTTTCTTTTTCTGATCACAAGGAAAATTGCTGCATTTCTAGCACCCCTGACTGCCAGCTCTGCAGACACAAGTGAGGGTGAATGGTGGACTGCCTCTTCCCTCTCTCTCCATGGTCCAATGTTAGCAGAGTGTCCAACAACGCCTGTAAGCTCCCAAGGCTGTCCAGATGGTCTTCCCCTGCAAAAGCTCAGCCCATGGCTACCAAGAGTGAATGCATGCAGAATTCTATGCTTCCAGGTGAGCAGAATCCTATGCTCCTTGCACAGAAAATGCTACCTTACTCCCAGCCACAGTGGCCCAAATGGGAATAAAGAAGTCACAGCTGTTCCTGGGACCCTTATATCCACGCTCTACACAGACAGGAGCAGCTGAGGCCAGCAGCGAGGGCCCTGCTGTGGAGAGGCAGCAGAGGCTGGGATGAAGCTGTGGCACAGCGGCAGGGGCGCGGCAGGCCAAGGGAAAGCTCTGAAGCTTCACCATCACTGCAAGCATCTGTTCCAACTGGTCTCTCTAGCCAGTTACAGGAACCACTGGTGGGGTGGGGTGGGGTGTCCCAGCAATGTCTTGCTATTTCAGGGGACTGCTTTAGTGATGGCTGAGGGTGATTTCCTAACCAAGTGCATGTCAACAGCAGCTTTCAGTGATGACCTCAAGAAAAATAACATCATGCAGGAAGGTGACAAGGTCTGCTCAGAATGACTAAACAAAGGTACAGCAAGCAGAACCCTTCCTTTCTGACTAAGTGCTGAATCAAGGTCTGGAGATATTACACTGATGGAACCACTGCCATAGACACAAATCTCAAGCTGTCCTGCAGGCAACTCAAGATCCCACCACACATTTCTCAGGAGTAACACCACCAACCCCCTAAATTCCCAATCAAATTCCAGTCTGAGCCATTTAATGGCAGGAATCTCCACTGTGTGCTCTACTCCGCCGTTTTTTCCTTCCTCCTCTATGCAGCTTTATCACAGAGATGACAAGCAGTGACAAACAGCTGCACTAGCTAGAGCAGTTCACAGCTTCAGCTTTGAATGATGTGGTTTGGACACCAAAAGGCATGATGCTATCACCAGTGCTCAGATCAAACAATTACTTTGAAAGCAGTGTCCTCTCAAACCTGACAGAGCAATCAAGACTTCCAGTTCAGCAAGAGACTTAGAACAAGTAACAGTTCAAGTCTGCTTGAAACTGCGGAAAAAAAGGAAGACAGATTTTGTGACAAGAGAGGGATGACACTACTGTCTGCACAGGAGGTCTGTACACTGACAGGGAAAGCACGATGGAAAACAAATCACATGCTCAGCACAGCTGCAGGGCTTGGCATGCCAGGGAGATCCGGGATGCAAGAGAGCTGCACAAGTCCATTTTCCATGAGGCCTAATGTACCTGCAGACCAAAGCTCTGCAGGGAGGAGTTCCAGAAAATAGGCAATGGCACATTCACCCTTCACCCAGGATTCTCCTCGAACACTTGGGCACCAACTGCTCTGAATCACCATTTCAGCACAAGTGCAGTAGAAAATCACTAAAATTAACCTCTCAAAGGGAGGCTTTAACCTGTATTTCCTGCCACCCAAAGTACTACTCCTCTACTAGTCCCTGAAATGATGTCTTATGCACAGGTTTAATCCTGCACTTTTATCTCAGCTATTTGGGGGAAAAAAACCAACCAAGCATGAGGATGGTACAAATCCACATGGCAGGAACACAAAATCCCCAGCCAGCTCTACTCCAGCTCCCGCCGGGTGGATTCCCACACCCGAAATCCGTCGCCAGCCGTACTACTCCTCTACTAGTCCCTGAAATGATGTCTTATGCACAGGTTTAATCCTGCACTTTTATCTCAGCTATTTGGGGGAAAAAAACCAACCAAGCATGAGGATGGTACAAATCCACATGGCAGGAACACAAAATCCCCAGCCAGCTCTACTCCAGCTCCCGCCGGGTGGATTCCCACACCCGAAATCCGTCGCCAGCCGTGCCAGCCGTGCCCTGCCGAGAGGCGGCAGCCTTCCACCTGCCAACGTCCGCAGGAATCCTGGCTCCGCTGGGTATGGGAAGCTCTTCCCTGAGTGCTGCCAAAGTCATTAGACACTCAGGGCAGCCTGGAGCAGCTGCCTGCCTAGAAAGCACTCGAGACAAGCATCTTGCTGCACAGGCGACAGACCAACACTGCATTCCTCCGTCACTGTCAGGAGGAAGAGCTTGGTCCACTGTGGGTTGCAAGATCAGACATTAAGTCTGCACACAAAAATTCCACGCGCTAATTATTAGGACATTGCAAAAGTACAAATTACCTGTGGAAGAATGAGCCTTGCAAACACAAAGAATGGTTTTCTCACCCTCCCCAGAGCATGATGCTAATTTGTATCATACAGTCCACCTAGATCCTAAACAAGTTGTTGAATAAACAGGTCCATGTGCCCTTTCATGTCACGCGAGGAGAGCCAAGCATGCTGTGTAAGCACCTGACAGCTGCCTGCAACTGAGTCATTCCAGCAGATACACCTGGCAAGATCTGACATGAAATCAAGGCTGCAGGGACTTGGAAGCCTGGGCTTGCCAAAACTCACAGACTGGCAACAAGAAGAGTCAGCCAGTAAGACCATGACAGCTCAGCCCTCAAGTATGGTGCGTCGGGGAGGAACAGGAGAGTCGGAAAGAGGAGGGAGGGAAGGGGTCAGCCCTGGGTTCAGGGCCTCCTTTACAGGCTGCAAGGAATGAAGGGATCCCATTTTTTTTTCCAGGTGAAACCTAAGCTCTTCCGTACTCCTAGCTGCCCATTTTGCTACAAAGGCTCCACTTCAGCCCAAACAGCACCAGAAGTTCTTTATCCCTGCCAGCTCTTTACCCAGCTCTTCTCCATGACCTTTCCCTCACCAAGCCTAATATTCCCTAGCCCCAGCAGTGGTGGCAAGTAAAGCCTATGCAACATAAAATAAGGATATAGGACATCATCTTGTAAATAGGAGGCAAATGAATTGAGCAGAAATCGGTGGTTTTCCACAAACTGTACCAAAGCACTTGAATCCCACAAGAAACTGTCAGTTCCTCCAGTGATACTGAACCAGGAATTCCTGTCCTTAGAATCCAATGCTCCTGAACACTGCTTGTAAATCTTACTATCAACTTCAGTGCACAGGAACGGGAGCTACCAGGAAGCCTCAGAGATTCAGCCAGTCTGTGGAGACTCTTGAAGTATTTCTTTTCCATCTTCTTTCTGAAAATGCTGTTTTCTAACTTTTCAGTGGCTTTGTAAAAGGTCTGCTGAAATACACTTTTAACTTCCTCTGTAAATATGTGCTTGAATGTTTGTCAACTTGACTCTACCTTTGATGGGAACGCTCTCAAAGGAAAATGCTGGGATCCAGTGATTTGCACAGTCCCAGCTGGCACAAAGGTTCACAGAACAGCTACAGACATGGCTGTGACCCTGAAAATAAGCCTCCTCTGAGTTAAAACATGACCCATCGCTCCTGCTTTCTAGAAACACAAACAGGGCACTTAACAAGCCACAACGTATTTCCACTTCATTATCCTCCTGTTTGCAGGTCTGCATGAGTCGTGTCTCAGGGAAACACACAAACCCAGACCACAGTGGTGTGCTGATAAATCAAAGCACTGTGGTCAAAAATCAACATCTTCTTGACTTCACATTCATATGTGTGTGTACTTCATATATATGAAACCCACATACATAGCAAGTGTATGGGTGAATATATATATATAACATTGTGCCACTGGGACAAATCAGAAATGAACATAAAACAGCTTGACTTGTTCTGAGGAAAATAAAAAGCTCAGGGATCTACTGACAAAGCTTGCAAGACATCCTGTGATGACTTACAATTAACAGAAAATTTTCTCTATGTGTGTTTATGTGCTTTTCAAAGTACAAAGGCATTAGTACCCTGGTTAGAATCCTTCCCTCCTTGATTGACCTGCCCAAACCTCAGTCCCAGATTGCACAGCTCTCCCAAAGCCATGACATCACCAGCACCTCAAGTAACAGCAAGAATGCAGCTGGCAGGATAAACACAGTGCTCTGCTCCCAGGTGTTGGCAGGTAAAGAGCTGGAGTTCACATTACAGTCAGAAAAGAGAAAGGAAGGAGGGAGCCAGTACTCTGAGGAGGGCAGTGGAAGAAAACTGCAACAAAGAAAGGAACTACTGAGTAACAGTCACGAGAGGCATTGCTTCAAGTTGTTCTTGTTCATTCTCCCTTCTGTGCTTCAAGGTTCACACTGAAGACAGCTAGAAACCAAGCACCAGGTAAAGGCCATCAGAAACCCAGATCATCTACCCCAATCAGCCTGAAAATATCTTCTTCAAATTATAACTGACTTGGGGTAAATGATCCTTCAGCTGGTCAGCGCAGAGCCCACCCCAGCTGACAGGCAGCTCTTCCTCTGGCAAGGTTTGAAGGCTCCATGAAGAAAGCAGCTCAGCTCTCAAACAAAACACACACAAATCCAACAGTTCCCAGGGGACAGGAGCACCACAGCAGCTAAAATCATGGATTTCGGTGGGGAGTTTTGGTGGGTTGGTCGGAGTTTTTTGCTAATCAATAGAGTAACAGAGACGAACAGAACAAAAAGGCAATACCTTCAGTGTTGTTTTTTGTCCAGTTATTCCATAAGTCTGTGCTGAGGGATGAAGCAGTAACAGCTGACTCTTCACTCAGTGCCCCCATTGCTGTGTAATGCAAATAGATGCTTACTGGAACAGAAAAGCTCAGTATATCTATTCAAGGTTCACTTCACACAACGTGCACTTCATACAACCCCCGTACCAGGCAGCAATAAACCAACAATTCATTTAGAACATTCTTGCCTCAAACTTCCTTTTGCCAGGGCATAATTAGGACTGTGGGAAAACAAAAGATGGCTTGCAAATTTCCCAAATACATATCATCCATCCAGTTCTCCACTCTACTATCTTACACAATTTACGACACATACTACCACGTTACACCTATTTACCAGCCTAAGCAGCTTCTTTTCAAAGAGCCCAGGTTCAAATTTCACCCAGGTTCCCAGCTGCTGGAAGAGCTGTGCTTCTCAGTGCCTCTGCAGCTCCCACCCCACCGCTGCTTCCAGAGGCAGCCAACTATTGTTCAACAAAGCCTCGGATCTTCCAACACAGAAAGCCTCCTGCAAACCTACCTTTCAGCAAAATATAGATTAGCATTCCAAATGCCATGGCAAGCAGCTGCTTTAACACCTTCCCAACTCCTCTTCCCAGGTGGCAGGCTGGCTCTGCTTATCTGCGCGCCCGTGTTTTCTCTCGCACTTATACGCCAGGAAGCGTCATCTCCAGGTCTCACCAATCAAGGAAAGGTGCATCTGGCAACAACCTCACCCCCCGGGGCAACCACACATTTATTTAGGAAACTGCTATTATCTAGCAATGGGATCAGGTTTTCTTTTGAAACCCTGGTTTCCTATTACCTGTGGGCATAATTGTGCAGGCAAAGGCACAGTTTCAGAGCTGAGACCCGGAATGTGCCAGAGCAGAGGAACCAAACACAGCAAAACCAAAAATGGCATGTTGTGAAATACATGCCGTTTCCTTCCCTTTGCAGTGTGCATCTTGTGTGGCTTCCAGGAGGATACTCAGCCTCAGGATGCTGCTACAGAGTTCAGGGTCCAGGCACCAGCCCCTGCTCTGCTAATGTTCCTTTGCTGGTTCTCCCTGTCCCTCAGTCCCTGCCATGCACAGGAGGAACTGCGCCGAGATTAGGAAGCGATCAGACAGGAAGATAGTGGATGATGCTCTCCGTAAGTGACTGCCAACGAGAGGCCTTTGATCCCAGGCTCCGCAAGCCCGAAGGCTGTGCTAATCACTTTCCACTCAGCCTGGCCGTGTGCACAACCCTGGGAAGCAAGGCCTGGGATTCTGGCTGAGCCCACGGTGTGAGGGGCAGAAGTCCAGAGCTGGCAAAGCACAGGCACTGAGGAAATGCAGGCTGAAGGAGCAGGTAAACTTGTTGCCTCCTGGATTAGGTGATCGCTTCATTACTGACAGAAAATCCCATCTCTGCCTTTCCAAGGAATTGCGTATGCACAATGAGAACGGTCGTAGTTTTTACACTCAGTGTTTGCAGGTCTCTAGCACAGACCTGTCAAATCCCTTTCTTGCACTAAACCACTCTCCAGAGCCCCAAACGCTGTCCAGCCTGGAACTAGTAGGACTGGTCTCTCCGAAGGGCACTGACGTGGCCAAACAGACCAGAGGAGATCAGAAGAGCCCATTCAGTAATGTACACGGACATCAACACCACAACTCTCACCAAAGGAGAGTTACATGCTTCACCCCAGCCACAACTCTTGCTGTCTCACCTGTGAATTCCAAGTAACAACATTTCACAATTTTTATATTTCAAAACCAAAAATCTTCTAATAAAAGCTCTAATAACTCCGGTCAGCGCAAGTTCTCTGCAGCACTCTCCTCAGTGATCTGCAGGATTACATCTAACCACTTCACTTGTCAAAAGAAGAACACAAGCTAGTTATGAGCATTCTAATTATGCCTTTTCCTGCTCGTGGACTGCATTCCAGGAGGCTTTTCCCTTCCTTCACTATCCTGCATGGCTGCATGCCTGCTGGCTGACCAAGTGCCTCGCACACTCCCCGATCACAGCAGTGTTTATGCCTGCCTGGATAACCTCTGCTATCAGGCCCAAGCAGGACTAAGGCCCATGAGCTTTGCTTTCAACACACAGCTGCACAATGGGAGCTTAATCCAGCCTGAATCCCAGGGGAGGCTGTGCCATGAGGCACCACGCTGGGCGCGGTAGGCCTGGGAGAAGGCTGCAGTGGGCACGGCCGTGCTCCGTCTGCCACAGGGCGTTCGTGCTTGGACCAGGCCTGACCAGGTCAAGCACACCAGCATGATTTTGGGGTTGGTTAATGGGTCCTTCCCTCTGCATTCTCCTTCTGGATGCTCTCCCAGGGGAGAAGACTCTCACAGATGTCTGGCATGCTGTGGAGCAAAGCCTGGCTCTCTCTGGCTTTGCTGTCACGATAACCCAACAACCCCTCCTTGCGGCACACGGCAGAGACAGGCTCACTCCAGGGACACGGGCACAGCAACATAGATGGTTGTTCTGCCAAACTCCACAGATTATCAGAGTGCAACCAGTCTGGAATGGCAACGTGAATCGATGGACACAGAAATGGCTGAGTGTGCATTCACTGCTCTCTGAGCACATGGACAAACAAAATAAAACCACACGCCCCCTCAAAACCCTATCAACACTTTTCATCAACACTAACATAACAGGGAACAAGTTTTACTCCATCTTTCACTGAGGGGTTGATCAGTCCAAGAATAGTCTCCACAGGCACCCTGATCCTCCTAACGTTCATATGACCACCTAAATTTAAACAGACAACAAGTGTTTGCACTACCGGCATTGCATATTTGGTAGTAATTATGTCAACCTCTTTTGCAAGCACTGCATAAAGCAAACTCTCAGGAAGCACATCACAAGAACAGTCAGCACAGAAGTGATGCTCCACCTTGGCTCTTTTATTACAGTTAAGTGCATTTTTTGTTTAATGGCAATAGTATTTAGCCATGACTTTTTTCTTCTTCCCCTTTCAAGTTATCTATAGTTCACTGGCAAACACCTAAGGCTCTCCATGAAAATAAACCCAAGTTATCCCAACAGAGATAAAACCAGGAAGATAAAAGTCCAACCTGGCTTCCACTACCTCCAGTGGGAATGGGTGTAGGCTCTTCACATGAACAGTGCACACAGCTGAACTGGCATCCTGGTCCACCCAGGAACTGAATTTTTGGGAACAGAAATACACAGATCTTATCCCATATACTCCTCTTTAAGCAGCAAGACAGCGCAGCCAAGGATTTGCAGGGCTGAGCCTTACACCATGGACTGAAAAATCCAACCTGTCCATGCAGTTTCAGAAAACAAGAGAATAAGTAAATGGCTTTGAATTCCAGCGCAAATATTCTGCAGTGAATGAACCTTTGGTCTTCCCCTCCTCTTCCGCCCCTGCCCCACTACAGAGTGCACATAGTAGTTTTAACTGCATTCTCCCAAAGGTAAGTCAAATCCAGCCCAGTCATCTCTTCATGATTTCTTTGTGGGGCAAAGGTTGTAATGTATCAAAAAATTTTGTCCAGACATGGCAAGAAAGTAACTCTGACCTGAACTGTAGCTACTTACTCCTGCTTACCTCTTGCAGATGTTTAAGGTCAGAGATTCACCTGCGCTCAAGTTTACTTGACTCTTTTAAAACGTTTAGTGAACATTTGCATTCGTGTCAACGTTCCTGCCTGGCAGCTGGCACAAACACTGCAGCCTTCCACTCCTTGCGGAGTCAAGACTTCTGCTGCTAGCTCTAAGTGTTTAAAAGAAAATAAATTCAAGACCTCAAACCACATCCAGAGTGCTCCATGGCCTCAGAACCCACATGGTGTATTTAGAAGATATCTAGCATGTTGAAACTTAGTTTTCCCACTGTTTGATCAAACCCGAGGGTCCCAAATGCTTACAAGACCTTGGTAACTGCATCAACATACAGGTACAGCTGTAATTCATGCTTCATTCTTCACTGGCAAACACAAAAGGGATCACCACCACCACTAACTGTGCAGGCTGCATTCTCCAACTCGCTTGTTCTCATCCTAAGTCAGTAGGAGGTAACACAAAGTACCTGAACATTTTGTAAACCTTCAGGCTTAGTGTACTTGACATGAAAAAATAAATACAATGTAGAAATAAATATATCTGTAGTAAAAAATACATGTTCTGTGCATCAATAAATAGAACAACTCGGATCCTTCTTCCAAGGCAGTCCCTTTGCTCTAGTAAATGAGCTTCTTAGCCACTAGGAGTGTGTTCCTCAGGAGCATTGCAACAGTCATGGGTCCTACCCCTCCTGGCACTGGAGTGATAAAGCCAGCCTTCTTCTTCACCTCTAGGAGAAAACAGAAAAAAGCATTCACTACGGATGTTTCCAAAAACTTTTTTTTTTTTCCCCTTTCATTGCCTACATATGCCCAACTGGCAGCAAGCACAAAGGACCATGGCTGGGCAAGTACTGCAGAGCATGGGCCAAGCCAAGGCAGGAGTGTCCCTGCAGCCACAGTAGTGGCAGAACACAGCCAGGGCCAGGGCTGTGGGGACAAGTGAACCCCCAAACTGTGCACTCCAGAGGAGCAGCATTCAGAGCCCACTGGAATTATCAACAGCAGCAGCAAAGTCACCTAGTCAGCCTGCCCCCCACTCTGCCTTGCACCTTCTAACAAAGACATCCCAAGATCACAGAAGGGAACTCAGAAATGCAGAGGGGAAAAAGTAGAGTTTCCAACAGAAGGGAAACTGTTACAGCTGAACTATGAACCAGGAATCATGAACCACATCAGACTATCCAAATCCAGTGCACACCTTGAATGCCTGTGCTGAGGTAAATATGTACCAATTCATTTTTGAAAGCATTTAAGCTAACCTGTTTGCACAATGAATTAATACAATGCAGCAATAAATCCTGACTTGATATTCTTACTGTGCAAATTGCTGTCGACTGGAATTGCAGGTTGCTTGCAAAGGAATCCTGTGCAACTTCCTGGGAACTCCTCACATGACAAACTGTAATGAGCAGTTATTTGCTAATAATGGTCAGTCCAAATGGCATTTTACTAACCTGGTTAGTACCCAGGATTTTTTTTTCAGGTGCCATCGTGAGAGGTTTTTTGTTTGTTAGTTTGGGGTTTTTTTGGCTTGCTGAGTAATAATTTCTTGGTAACTCACACCCCACCTGTTTTTCCAAAGGCACATACACATCCCCAGGAGACAACTGAGCAAGCACAACTGACACAAGCACATTCAGTTCCACTGGAGCCACTGCAGAGCAGAACCTGTACCTTGCTGTGGGAAGAGCCCAAGGGATGGAAAACTAGACACCTGGGCTTGGAACAAATGAGATCACTTGGACTGCTTTAAGTGTAATCTTGACTCTATGTGGTGCTTAACTGTCAGGAATAACAAGGCATCAAAAAAAAGAGTATTAGAACAGATTTTGAAAAATTGGGGCTTTTTTGGAAAGAATATTTACTAGAGTTGAAAGGAGTGGTAAATGGAATGAATGAAACAGTGCCTGAACCCTCCATGGCAGGGACCCAACGAGAGCATTCACAGCAGTTAACAGTGAATATCTCACCGAGCCGAAGAACAGAAGAGTAAGCCTCGTTGAGGAGAGATGGTAATTACAACTGAGAGGGTTTTAATTACTCAGTCGACTGGTACCACCATTCAAATATATGGAAAAGAAAACAAATTGCAATGTGGTTGTTTTTCACATGCAAAATGTAACAAATTAATTAAGATCTCGTGGGACAGTTATTTTGAATATTCTCAAACACAAATAGTTTCTCTGCTTAATAGTCAGACTATTTTGAACTCCCTACCACTTGAGATTGGTGCTTATGGTTAACAGAGTTACTGTGAATTCTCAGATGAATACCCTAATTACTGAAATGCACCCACATCTGACGGAAGGGAAGACATTAACACAGAAAATATTGTGGGCACTTTAAACTGAAGTAAGTTTGTCTTCATGGCAATGCTACATACCTCGTTGTGGTGTTACTCAGACTTGTCCTATCTTACCTACAAAGAGGGACAACCCGCAACCAGACCATGCCCTTCCTGAAGAAAGCCTTGTATCAGGTACAGGTACATGCACTGCCTGTGGTGCCAGTAACCCTGTTCAGGAGGAAACACACACGGCACTGTTTTCCAAGTTGTTGGGGAATTCCTCTACCCATACTCTCTCATTATGGAAATCCCTGTGGGTCAGGGTGGCAGAAGCCTTATTTTGTGTCATTTAGCATAAAACCACCTGGATAGCATATTCACAAAACCTGGTCCAGGTTCCTGAAGGCACAGCAGGTGTCTGTGCTGGGGAAACAACCACCTGATAGGTTTCCATTGGTGAGGGTAAACACAGATATAGTGAATGCAGTTTTCCAAGAAGTTTGCCAGCGACCAAAGACGGAAAATAACTTGGCCCTCAAAAAGGTCAATACGTTTTCCTTTCCTGGTCAAGTGCAGTAGGCCACAGCACAGTTTCCAGACAACACTTAAGCGTGACTGATCTCATGTTGGCAGATGAGGTGCTGTGCTGTCAGTTCCTTCAGGTCTTGCCTCTCGTCCTCAGGAACAGGGTGGCTTTGTCCCCAGCTTTAGCCCTGCTTTCTCCACATACTTGCTGGTCTCCCAGGCCTTCCTCTGCCCAGCTGGAAAATGCTGGTATGCAAATCAGGTGCCTATGGGGGAGGAGCTGCTATTTTGCAGCTTCTGTAGAACCTTGAAATCTTCCTTTGATTCTTCAGAAGAAATGAAATGTAGATTGTTTCCTTGAAAAACAGGATCCACTGCTTTGGAAACAGCCCTTCATTCCTAGGTTCCTTTAAAGCTAAGGACATCAGACACCTAATAGGGTTAATCACACAAACCAAGGGCAAGTCTCGACCTGAAGGCAGCTCTGGGTCTTCTGCATCTGCATTAAGTGATGCAGAGTAATTCCTGCCTAAGCACTGTTTCCACACGGCTTTATGAGTGCCTGTAAAGCCACACCGATCACTGCATCCCTGCAGCACTGCCTCAGTGGGGATCACGTGCTCAGCAATCACAGCAGACATCCAGCTTCTGCTCCACACCTGCTAGGATTCTTCTCACTGTGCACTGTGGGACACCAACCATCAAGCATCTACCCCATCTCTCAGAGTTCCTTCTTTTTGAGGCCCATGCATGACATCTTCTGCAGAGTACCACCCAAACTGGGCCACCCAGAGGCTACCTGCCACCAGGTAGCCACCAGCTGGCCTGGCCTTCTGGCTGTCCAAGCCTAATGCCAACCTCCTGGTTTATTCCTTGCTCTCACGGAGCAGAACAACAGGCAATGCTTCCCCTGATGCTTGCACAGCAGCAATATAGTGACATGATCACACAGCCTGGACTTCTGTTCATTGCCAAAGGAACGCCAGATCTTCAAAATCAACTGAGAAATGAACTGAGTGAAGCTGTAGCCAAAGCAGCTGGAACATGCACATTCTGTTTGAGCAGCCACTGCTTGGAAAAGCTGCACAGAGCTGATTTGGAAAGGATTCAGCAAGGGAAGAGAAGCCTACAGCTGGGAAGGTATCACAGTGAACACAGAGAGGCAGCAAACAGCTGTCGGAAGCAGCTCTGTCACAAAGTCTGGGCTTCCTGCACGCTGGAGCTAAGGCACAGCTGCAGGACCACCACCTCCACTCACAACTTGGATCTGAAGGTTGTGGTGGTCAATGCCACTCAAAGGACATTCACAGCACAGGCCCATTACCCTTCACCATCTCCATCACTTGGTGAGGCACTTCCTCCTGCCATTCAGCACTGGCAACCTCTCCCTGCTCCTGGTGGCACCCACTTTCCAGCATCTCTTTCACATGGCTGAGTTGAAATGAACAGTTGCCAGGTACAAACCCCTGCACTGGTATCACAACTCCATCACCTACAAAGGTCTTGCATAAAAGCTGTATTCCCTCCATAGGCATCCAACACAGATTCAACAACCAGCACGGCTTACTGTTTGTCAAAAACATGGAAGGGGTTGTAAAGACACACAGGCAGCTTTGGTTTCATGGGCATTTCCAGTTCCAGTCTCAAAGGTGAACATGTTACTACCCTGCTCTACCAGTCACTCCTGGAAATGGTGCTCCACCCAAAAGAGCTGTTCCAGCTAAACATTCTGTGTAGGTTGTTGCTTTATTTCACGTTCCTGGTCCTTGTAGCCCTCCTCCTCCCTCAGCATTATAGCTGTGGCAACAAAAGCCCTATAAAACAGGGCCAAGTACACCCACACGTGCTCTACCCCGTTCACACAAACAGGTCTCTCTTTCTGCAACTGAAACTGAAAGAAGCTAAAATGGCACTGGCAATCATGTGGGGATGCCACCACTTCTCCTCCTCCCTGGCACTGCACTCTCCTTCCTGTGGCTCCCAGAAGCTGGAACCTGGACCACAGATTTTGTCAGATTCGTAACACGAACAGGGGTGCCCTCAATGTGCTGTGCTGGGTGCACATGGAGAGACGCACACGCAGTTTAAAATGTCCCTGCAGTATCAGTATCAGGCCAGCTTTGCAGCTGTGTTCTCCTCTTGCTCTTTTACATACCTTGGAACTGCACAGTAAAGCATTCCGGACCCTAAAGAGGACACGTCAGGATAGGGGAGATCACAAATACTGTTTCAAGACATTCTGTAATTGTTCTAAAAGAGTGCTGCTCAAAGAATGCCCCCAGGCACCTCTTAAATTGAATTTAATAACAAAAAACATTAAAAAATTAAGATGGAAATGGCATCCTTTTGTTGTGAGAGAGATAAAAATAACCTTTGGTGCCTAACCTATCACCTAGAGACTAGAGGAATGCTTCCAAGCATTGCTAAGATACTACAACCGAATCACAGCAGCTTTCACCCATCTAATAAACTTCATTTCCACCACAGGAGCTTTCAGCCAGAAGAGCTGGGGAAGGAAGCCCTTTCCATCCTTTTCTTACAGATGAAATGTAACGTCTGACTGCCCAGTTAAACCCCTGCTCCCCCACAGCCACCTTTTCTACTGAAAGTGGGTGAAGAGACAACAGATATTGGTGGGCCGTGTTGTGATCTTCAACAGGCACCCGATGCCGTGCTAGCCTGGCCTCAACCTGAAAAATCTTGGGCTTAAGGAAAAATTCAGTCAAGTGATCCAACAGAGGAGAATGATGAAATGACTTGCTACATGAGCACACTGGCTGGTTCCACTTCCTGACTGCCAAGCCAAATCCTTGCCAGGGGTGGTTTACTTGTTAGTGTTGGGAAGTGTATGCACTGGGATGCTTTTTGTCGCTGTTAGAGATTTAGTGAAACTTTCACCGATACCAATGAACCAACAACAATTTCCCTTTGGCAATGTACAGCGAAATGCTACTTGCAACTGTAGTGGCATAATCTAAGCTGAAGTTCCTCCCTCTTTTTTTGGATCTTCCCTCCCCCCAGGTAAAATCCTGAGCACAACCCACAGCAGACATGACGAGACAGATACAGCGCATTGCTGAAACTCTGAATCACGGCCCTGCCACTGCATCTACACCTCTATTGCAGGCACAAGGTCTCGCGTTTGAAGGGCAACAAACAGGAAGGATGCAGTTTCATGTTTCTCAGAGCTTTTCCACTCCCACACCTCCTTAAGCAAACAAAAAAAACCCTGAAAATTCTCCGTTCTGGACACAAAGTAGAGCCTTTCACTTGTGATGGCACAGGATAACCACACAAAGCACTTCTCAATTTGTACTCCCAAAGTGCTGTCTATTCTCCTAAAGCTGTTGCACACATCCAGGTAGAGGCTTCCAAACACATGCCCAGACAGTCGCTCAGCTGTACTCGTGCAGGTGATTTCCCCTGCCTTTAACAGACAGGTATCATGCATGATGACTAAAAGCAGCAGGAGCTCAGGGAGTGATGTAATTACAAACACACACACAGCTGGCCAGAAACATTCTGAATACAATTAAGCTTTGAGAAATTTTGCCAGCCAAGATGGTAATAACCATGAAAAAAAACACTGTGGGTGATTTTCATACTTATCAAAATAAGGAACTGTTGAGAACCATTAATAATGTGGGTAAATGCTGTCTAAGCTTCCCACACTCAACTCTGCCAATAAGCTTTAATTTTCAGCTGCAACAATCCTGCTATTCCAGTCTGGAGCTCCTCCAGAGCAGAGATATTTAATCAAGTTACATTGTGAACTTGCTCTGCAAGGACCCAGAAAACCTGCAACACGTTAAACATAAAAAGATCAATATGTAACACCAATTTTTATCTGCCAGGCTTGCCCAGACCAGGATGTTCAGCCGCTTCAGATGAACCCACATTACACCTTAGCATAAAGGAGAATTCCAAAGCCAAAGTTAATATCCCATGGCACGCTCTTGGAAAAGCTTGGCCAGGTGCACGCTTTCCTGGGTTAAGAACTGGATGATGGCCTGGAGAGTGGTGGGGAACAGTGCTGCATCCAGTCTCCAATCACTAGTGATGTACCCCAGAGATCAGTACTGGGCCCAGTCCTGTTCAGTGTCTTCACTGATGATGAGGGGACTGAACCTAGCCTTTGTCAATTCACAGGTGACACCGAGGTGGGTAGAGCTGTGCATCTGCTGGAGGGTTGGAAGGCTCTGCAGGGGGATCTGGACAGGCTGGATCCACGGGCTGAGATCAACGGTATGAGGTACAAGACCAAGTGGTGGTCCTGCACTTTGGCCACCATAACTCCCTGAAGCACTCCAGGCTGGGGTGTTAGGTCATAGGTTGGATCCAATGATCTCAGGGTCTTTTCCAACCTAAACGATCCTGTGGTTTTGTGATTTTCACAGACAAGCACGGAGGGAGAGCGTAGAAGGAGGCTCCAACACCGCTATGAACTTGTGCAAGAAGAGAAACTGTTTTCACTGCCTCCTCTTGAAACACTTCACAGACTCAAAGGATTGAAGGACCCTGGAGACAAGCAGCTTCTGCACCACACTGCCAGAAGAGCTCATCTATATCTCTTCTAGGTTACTGGTATGTGTAACTAAAAGGAACACTTCCTCGCTCAGCTAACATATCATTTCTTATGAACACATAGCTTGTGTTCCTATCTAGGCAAATAAATCAGAATAAATTCCTGCAAGTGCTGTCTCATTTGAGACACTACCTATTCCAGGGATTTACTAAGAATGAATCCTACAGACTTCAATATATTTATCCAACAGGTTTGTACAAAGAATGTTTCACTGACCTTCAAAGTCCACATCCCCAATTAATTTGGTTTTTCCTGTGAGAGGATCATGGATATGGTTGATGCCTACGTCAATCACAGCTGCACCTTCTTTGACCATATCAGCTGTAATCAGCTTTGGGATACCTGGAATCATCAACATATATTTGATTAACATGGCCAGGTAGGCTTTGGCCATCAGTCTGGAATGATATCAAGGGGTGTATTTCTTGATACGTCCCACACAGAAAACAATTATTCCCCAATTGCACACAGTTTGTAACTACTATTACTACTACATAGAATAGGAAAAAAATCCACAAAACCCCCACCAAAAGCTGTGCCACAGGATTGGTTTTGGTTCAAGAAACACACTCAACTCATCAGCGATTTTAGCTGCTGTGGTAACCCCAGCACAGGACACTGACCTTCCACAGGGGAGCTCCTACAACACACCATGTCCTGATATTTACAGTAATTTGGGAGACCTCTGCACTTGAGCAGAGAGGCCTGGCCTCAGCACTGCACACCTCCATCCCCTTTCAGTGGGCTACATCGCTGCAGTGTCCTGGGGTATGATTGTTTTGCTACTGAGAAGCTCCAGGTAAAACAGCTGCAACAAGCCACCTCAGCTTTTTCTTACACACCATCCTATTTCTTCAGCACATTTAAATGTAAAACATCTTGATATTCATCATGAAGATGTTCATCAGTCAGGACCCAGAAAACCTAAAAGGTCATTTCAAAGTCCAGGTTAGGAGTTGAGTCAAAGATTTTATGTTTCCAGTCAGGAAGTCCTTTCCTACCTCCAATTTAAGAGTGATGGAAATTTCCAATGAAAAATTACAATTCATCTTGCTGCTTGAGCAATTCCATCAGTTCTCTATTCTGAAAAGAATGTTAGAGTGTCTCCCTAAAGGGAGTGTAAGCTCCTCCCTCCCCACAAAAGCAGCTTTCTGTCAGGTGAGGATGAGACAAAAAGGTAAAGAAACCAAATCCATAAGGTTTGAAACTGTAGATTTATTGGAGGCAAGTGCTGGCACACAAGGCTTTGGCTTCATTTGAAGTGCTGGAGCACAGCCAGTTAGTCATTTGGATACAGCAACACGAACCTCCTTTGCTCTCCACTTCTCACTCCCCCATAGGACACCAGCTTGAAACTCTGCTTCTCATGTTGAGCAAGCCAAGACCTCAAATTCTTTCCTACCCCGTTTGATACCATCTGGCTGCATCTCCTTCATCCCACTCTGATGCAATCAATGGCAAGCTGGCAGGGAATGGGATAATGCCTCAGCCTTATGGGGGTAAATGATCCGTGTGTGATAGGGCTGGAAGCATATTAACGGAAGCTGCACAGTTACACCCTTTGTAAAATGGTTTGATAATAGGCCAAATACTTAACAGCAACAAATGAACTAACCCCCAAACCAAATGAACAGATCTATTTACTTAAGCCTACTTTACATACCTGGTAGGAAGAGATAAGTGTTAGAGCAGCCATTCCTAAAATGCATTGACTGAAGAATGTGGGAAAATCTTTCATTGGTCATTTTTGTAGAAAATGATGATTCATGTTTTAAATAAAAGTGAAACAAAGCCCTACCTAATCCCAGTTTAAGGACAGGGACTGCAAACAGCTAACTCCTGAGAAAGCTAACCAGCCACCACTGGAATAAAAGGGTCTGATCAGCCAGCACTTCCCAAGCAAGAGGACCACAGATCATGTCCCGAGGGATTTCATCTGGCATTTGGCACACTCATTCCTTCTCCTCTTTACCCCCTCTCCAAACCTGCCAGGCACATGGTCCTGTCCCTCTCAGTAGACTGGAAAGCCAAGAGAGCAAGAGCAGTAGGTTGACTAGTTCCAGACTCCTGTTGCCTCCATCACTGCCCTGCAAGTCCTGTGGTGGCTCTGTGAGCACCACTGGTAAAGCTGCACTTATCTTTCTGCTACAGGTCTGGGCCAGTGGCAAAAGAACTGACTCCATGGGATGCCTGTATATTCAGGGACAGAGGGTCCAAGCAGGAAAGGCTGTGGTGGGATACAAAGTGCTAGGTGTGCTTAACAGGAAACATGATGCTTTGGCTACAAATCCAAAAGCTGCACGGCATTGAGAGAGATTTTAGGGAGGGGTAGGCTGGAGAACAGCAGCATTGTTGGAACTTTTGATGCAAGGAGTTGGGAAGGAATGAGAGGGAAAGAAAAAACTGCATGGATAGTTACAATCAAAGTAAGCAGGAAAACTGGGGCCCCTAGCCTGGGGGCAAATGAGAGAGAGAGCACACAGAGATGAATCTTCTCACACCCAAGAGTAACACTAGAAGCACCTGATTCAAAGCATTACCAAAGCCATGAATGCAAGTGAACAGAAAGGCACTCAGAGGTGAAGTATCACATCAGAACAGACTCACTGCAACAAGTCACCAAGCAGGAGCCAGGATGGAGGTGGCTCTTGAGGAAGTACTACATGGGAAGAGAAGAATAAGACTAGAAACCCTGTTCTTGCATGCACACACACACCAAAAGCTCTTTCCAGTTGCATATCCTGCACAGTGGCCTGTAACAGCAGCTGTTCCCACCTGGCAGGGTAGAAGTTACCTTTTCTGCAACACTCACTGAACAGATGACACATTTCCGGGGAGTGTGTGATCCCAAAGGTACAGTGTGCACAGTTCTCAAGTAACAAGAGGAAGCTCAGAGGGATTCCATCTCTCCTAAGTGTAATCTTGCCCAGAGCACCCACTGGGGCAGGGCTGCATGCTGTTTGCACAACTTACTCCCAGGTTTTTTCATCATTCCAAGTGTACCTCATGTTGTGCAATGAGTGCTGTATCATGCTGCTGTTACAAATGACACCAGGAAAATTATGGGGTTCTCAAGTAACAAGAGGAAGCTCAGAGGGATTCCATCTCTCCTAAGTGTAATCTTGCCCAGAGCACCCACTGGGGCAGGGCTGCATGCTGTTTGCACAACTTACTCCCAGGTTTTTTCATCATTCCAAGTGTACCTCATGTTGTGCAATGAGTGCTGTATCATGCTGCTGTTACAAATGACACCAGGAAAATTATGGGCAAACACG